TATTCTATTCTATTCTATTCTATTCTATTCTATTCTATTCTATTCTAGTCTAGTCTAGTCTAGTCTAGTCTATGCCCATTCCTATTCCTATTTCCATTCCTATTCTATTTCTATTTCTATTTCTATTCTATTCTATTCTTCATTCCTCTCTTCTATTCCACCAGGCACCCAGTTCTTTCCTCCTGTCTTTCAAACTTCCCCGCAAGACACTTTTCCCTTTCAAGCCGCCGCAGCTTTCTTTCTGGGTCCGAAGGCTGGCCCCTCCCCTCGGGGGCCCACGGAGGCCCCGCGTGGAGGCAAGGGGGGGGAGGGAGGGAGAGACCCCCTCCATCCAACCGCTGGGAACGTACCACTTTGCCGAGGAAGAGGGTGCTCCCGCAGGCGAGCGTGCAGGTCAGCCCCACAACTTTGGCCCCAAAGTTCTCGATGGCCAAGTACTCCTCCAGGATGACTCCCGTCAGGATGGTCTTGAGTTCGGGGATGCCAGAGCCTGATGAGAGAGGGCAGAACCATCTCTCCACCGCTTCTGGCAGGAGCCCCTGCCCAGAGGCGTCTCAGACCCTAACTGAGGAGCCAGGCCAGACACGGTTGTGTGAAGGAGGCCCTGGACCAGACCAGGTCGCCCTTTCCCCAGCCACCTTCCTTTCAGGGAGAAGAACAAGGCAGCAGATGGAAACCTTCGTGCTTCCCAACGGGCACAGGCTGGACATTTTTCTCCCCTCTCCTCTCCCCCAGACTTGGGGGGAAGAGAAGAAAGCTGCCTCCCGGTCCAAGGGCTGGAACTGGGCGTAAAACGACCCACTGGGAGGGGGGGGGCTGACCCCAGCCTCCCTCCCACCTCACCTCCGGCGTGCTGGGTAATGCTTTGGGCAAACCCCGTGGAAAAAGCGGAGAGCGCGACTGGGTACATGGTCCAGGAGAGGAACTTCAGCCCCGGGTAGTCTCCAACCTCTTGGTAAAGCCACAGGTGCGCTGGAGAATCCAAAGGGAGAGTTTGGACGTCGTCGGCTAGGAACTGGACCGACCCAGGGCGGCTCTGAAGGGATGGAGAGCCAAAACGCCCTCCCCTCTTGAAACGGGCCTCTCTCGGGGCAGGGGGTCTCCACAAGCTGCACAAAACGAGGCTCTTTCTTTCTGCTTGTCCCCCCCCCCAATGTCCGGCTTGAGGAGGGCGGTGGGGTTTGGTGGGGCCAAAGCTCACCGCTGGCCACCCTGGAGACCGTGAAGTCCATGGCGAAGCTGACCAGCGCCATGATGACGCCCAGGGCGAAGAGGTAATACCAGTCGTCCCCAACTCGGAAGAGCTGCCGCTTGAGGCACTCCAGGCAACCTGCAGAGGGCAGCAGAGGCTGGGAATTACGGGTCTCCTCCAAGGATGGGTGAAGAGCCCCAAAGGGTCAGCCCCTCCGGACAGCATCGGGAAGGCCTCAAGCCTCGGTGCCACCCAGGTGGGACCTCCCAGACTCCTACCGTGCACCTTGCGCCGGGCTTTTGGCCAGGGTCTCCAGTTGTCTTCCCAGGGCAGGAACACGTTTGCTGCCTCCTCCTCCTCTTTCTTCTCGTCTCTTTCTGTCTCCCCACTGACTCTCTGTGGCTGCTCGGCAGCCATGCCCCGAGGAGGCTGGGAGTGGGGACGCTGGACCAGGCCCGAGAAGAGGAGGAGGAGGAGGATGCAAGCTGTCTGTCTGCAAGCATCAAGGTGGACGGGCCCCCAGCGGCCTCCTGCTACAGCTTGTAGGGCTCTCGGCCACCGGACGGAACCCAGGAGGCACCGTTCCCTGAAACGCAAAGGCCCTGGAAAGGTCGAAGGGAGAGGAAACGTGCACCCAGATCCCCCACCCTCAACGACACGGTCCTGGCCACCCTGCAAAGGGAAGACGCTCCACGGGCAGCAGCCTCAAAAGGGACGAAGCCCCAACAGGATCCACCGGCCTGGTTCCAGGGCACTCTAGGAAGGCGGCATTTCTATTGCCTGAGGGGGCCTCGGATACTAAAGGAAATCCAGACAACTGGCAGACAACAATGCGCACACTTCCCCCGCCGCCACCCCCCCTGCTCAAACGCAGCCAGGGTCCCCTCAATGGCCTCACCTGGTACCTGTGCAAAGGAGACTCACCCCACCTCAGCCAGCTCAGATAAGGGCGTCTGTCCAAGGCTCCTGCTGCTCCTGGGTCAGGGCGGCTTCTCTGGAGCCAGTTCCCTCTGCCTCTGCCCTGACCTGATCCAGTGCACATACGCACACACCTGTCTCCCGGGCCCTCCCTCTTTCCTCTCCCACACCTCCCTCCCTCCCTGACCTCTAAGCATCCGGAAGTCTCTCCGGGACCCACAGGAGAGGCCCTCCGGCCAGCCCATTCCAGCTCAAGCCAGCCTTCACAACAAAGCAGCACAAGGAAGGTGAGGTGGGCGGGCAGGGAGGCAGCTGGCAACCGGCCCCATTTGGCTGGCTGCCCCACACCTTGTCACCCACACACACCCCCCGGGGGTTATTTGTTTCGGTCACTAGAGCTCACTCACCATCCCAATTTATGCTCACGTCCCAAGGTCCAGGTGAGCCGTGCGTGGGGTGTGTGTGTGTGCGTGTGCAGAACCAAGACCAGGAGAGCCAATTGCTGAACAGTGCCAGCCTTTCATGATCCTCGCCATCCCATCAGGCAAGCCCCTAAAATGGACAGGCAGCTACTCACACAGTCCCTGGGGAGGGGGACAGACAATGTGGGGGGGGCGGGGGCGGAGGGCACTGCCTGCTGCAGGTCAAGGGAACTTATAGGGAGAGGCCGAGAACAGAGGCTGCAGGGCAGGATGAGCTCAGGGGGCCATCCCAGCAGCAAGGGAAACGAAAGGCATGGAACAACACTGCCCCCACCCCAGAAAGCATCTGTGGGTACTCCCCAACATCTCCCGCGCCCCAACTTCTACATCAGGCACGGTTTCTGAACTCCGAGTGAGTTCCAGGATGATTTAGGGCCCGTGGGTCTCCGCCTGGGGAGTCCCTGGGCCCCTCTCCTCCTGCCAGCCCCCCCGGAAGTGGGAGCCCAGGGCCCGAAGAGCTGCAGTGCAACGGGCAATGGATGAAGCCGAGTTAGGGAGGACATCCTGTCCTCTGGGGCTGGTTCTGTGCAGGGGGGGAGAAGAGGGCACGGGAGGCCCCAGGCCCAATGACTCAGCCTGCCCTGAGAGGAGGGTGACTAAGCAGCTGCGTTTAGCTACACGCTGCCCCCAGACAGTTTCCGCGGACGGGCTGCGGTGATGCTTGCCAGCAGGGCCGCCGCCATCTTCCGCAGGGAGGCCAATGACAGGCCCTCTGAACGGCCCGGGAAATAAAGCTCGGCCCTGGAGAAATGGCAAGCCCCCTTCGGGAATTGGGGGGAGCGTGGGGGGTGGGGGCTAGAGGGAGCAGGGTTCCTCTTCTTTCGGGGTGCTGCCCGGCTGGGGCTCTCCCCTTCCTTGTGGAAGGCCAATCAGGCCAGCCTCCCCTCCCGCCTCTCTCCGTTGGTGCAGAGCCCGTGCCTATGGGACGCTTTCCAGAGGCATCGGCCCTGTCCTGCGGAACACTCTAAATTTAGACTCTGTGGCAAGACCCCTGGAAGGCAGCCCAGCGGCTCCAAGGCTTTTAAAGGCTCCACAGCTGCCCCGGGTGGCTCTGTCGGGTGAGACTTCCGGAGGAGGCAGCTCGCTCTCTCTCTCCCGGCATCGATCCGCTTGGACAGCCACCCTCTCAGGGCTCACCGCTTCGGCACCCTCCACCATCTTCTTGGCAGGACACGACCAAGCGGGCGCGGCTGTCCCATGGAGAAGGCCCACGGAATATTCGACAGTACGTTGGGGAGCTTCCTAAGGCCCCACCCGGATCCCCGAAGCTTCTCAGGCAAGTGGGGAGAGAGGGCTGAATAGGCGGCCTCGGACCCCCGACTGTCTGGGTCTCTCCCCTGGGCTCTTGTCTAGCCAGTCCCACAGCTTTAAGCGGCGCAATCGCGGAGGGGAGACGCCACCGTTTTCGCTTGTTTAGGGTAAACCCTTTTTTGTTTACACCCACCATTCCTGGAAGGATGGGCTCCACACAGGCTCCACCATTCTGATCCAGGATATCCTCCCCGTACCTGTGGCCTGGCTGCACTTGTGAAAGGCAGAGGAACCACAAAGGGGTTTTTCGCACAAGCTGCTCAATATCTGACTCGGTGCATCCCAAGCCACAAAGGCAAGCAAGGGCAGCCTGGTCTCCCGTCTTAGCGGTCGGCCACAAGGCCGTGTCCTGAACAGGACCTAGCGAAGACACCAGAGATCCCAGGGAGGAGGGGGAAAGGGGCACTTGGCAGGGCAGAGAGAGGTGGCTGGAAATGCGAGGGTGTCCAGCCCCTGTCATTTAGGAAGCCTGTTGGCCACAGAGTCCTTGGGCTACTTCTTCAGCTCCAGGCTGGTCTGTGGTCTCTTGGGAGGGAGAACCCCCTCAACCAGGTGGGATTTTCAGGACCTAGCTCAGTAGCCCAGCAATTCCTTTTCGTCCTGAAGCACCTCAAATAGCTGCTGCAAACAGAGCCACCTGGAAGGCCCATCAGAAGCACAGATGGCGCATCCTGCTCGCCCCAGGATCCCACCCCAGAAATTTTCCTTTTCCCAGCAAATTATGTCCCAGTGCTGGGATCAAGAAATCGAGAGAGCTTCTCTTCTCTCAACAGGCCGGGCTGGCGGGATGGGAAACATCAAAACCTTGGGGGATACATACCAGTTTGCGGTGGATGTCAGCGACTTCTCCCCCGAAGACATTATCATTACCACATCCAAAAACCAGATCGAAGTGAGGGCTGAGAAGGTGAGTGGCTACCGCTGAGCTGCCTCCCGTCTTGGAGACCGTTGGAGCCATTTTTAAAGCAGAGCTGGGCCGCTTGGCTGGGGCTGAGGGCTGGTGAGGCGGGTAGCCCCAAGATGCTTGGCCGAGAAAAGCTGAGGCAGGTACTCCTTCGATCCACGGCAGCGGGGAGTAGCTTTTTCTGGCCTTCCGGTTCTCTGCCTATCCGAGCATCACAATATCGTCCCGCTGTGGAAATCAACAAGAAAAGGGAGTTATAGGAGCTGTTACTTTTTGTCTTGGTTTGCTCGGGGAAAAAAAAAGAGATGAACGTGCCTGAGCTCCCCCCTCCCTGCCCAAAAGGACCTGGACGGACCCCCTGCAATGTAAAGGAGCAAACCCTGTAGGGAAGAGACCGCAGTGGCATCGCTGTCTTAAGAGGCTCTGGGGATCGGAGGCTCCCTGACCCCCCCCCCCCCCCGTGCCCTTCTGACTATGCTAGGGATGCACATGGTGACGGGAACATTCCCCGACTGGCCGGCCCGTGTTGACCCAAACGCTGCCAAGGAAGCTCTTCTCCTATTGCCAGCTGCCTCTCTGGGGGCCAGTCTGGCAAAAGAAGAGGCCTTTTTGGGTTGAGTTGTTCCGGCTTAACTTTGGGCAGCATCGTCAGCATTTCCCCACCCCCCCATTTCATAGCGATTCGGGGTGGGCTTGCTCCTTAGTTTAGCAAAAGGGGGCAACTGAACTTTTGGGAAGAGCAGTTCACAACAACTTTCAGGATTCAGACTCTAACTGCTGTTTCTCTGTCCTCCTCCCATGGGCAGCTAGCAGCTGATGGGACCATCGTCAACACATTCACCCACAAATGCCAGCTCCCTGAAGATGTGGACCCTACATCGGTCACCTCCACCCTAGGGGCAGACGGCTGCCTGACCGTCAAGGCAAGGCGACGTCCATCCAAGCCATCTGAGCAAGTGCAGCAAACCTACAGGACTGAGATTAAGATCTGAGCTCCAGGAGCAGTTCGGGAGAGCGGGCAGGGAGCCAGGCTGGGCTGGGCTGGGCTGGGTGGGGGGGGTGGAAAGTAGATCTGTCCTTGTGTTGCCCGTCAATAAGAGATGTTTTGGTTTGTCATCCATGACTGAAGGTTAAAGGGATGCCGGCAAGACCCTAAGCGGGCCAAAGCTGCCCTTCCTCCACTCCCCCTTTGATAAGGGGAAAGAACACCACCGCTTTTCGCCAGCAGGAACAGCAAAGCTGGAAGGCAGCTGGAGCTGAATTTTCCACTTCTGCAGCCAGCAATTTAATGTTTTGAAGCGTTGAAGGGACATGTTGCTAACAAAAAAAAAAAAAAAAAAGAGGATGCAATATGAAATTTATACAATAGGAAGTCAATCGCAAAGTGGAGTTTACCTCTGGTGAACTTATTTAGGATCGCTGCATACCTCTTGAGGCATTCAAGTGAAAATGTTATGATATTATATTATAAAATATGCTAGATTCAGGGTTTTCCCACCCCCCTTCCCTCTCCCCTGTCTTTGTACCCTACCTCCAAATCCAGCTACACCCACAAGTGAAAGTTGAGGGGAATGACATGATGTAAAATGAAAAGTAAAACGTGTAATTATAGGAAAATACTTTCTTGCAAGTCACGCGCTGACTTTGGCTGTGCGAATGTGTATGATTTGTGGAGGGAGGGGGGGGAAGGAAAGGAAGAAGGGAGCAAGGAAGGAGGGAGCTTTTGTCCTTGTGTTGCATCCAACACACACACACACAACACACAGTTTTTAAAGGCCAAAGAGCCGGGCAAAGAGGTAGGCTGGGGGGAAGAAGTGAGTCATGGTCTGGAAATAGAGCCGTCTGACAAAGGCCCTCCAAGTGGGCTCCTTGCCCGGGTGGGCTGAGGGGGGGTTGCAAAGGGGACCATTCCAGGCCCGGCCCAGCCCAGCCACCCTGCCCTGGAAGAGAGGCTCACCAAGACGCCTCTGAGGCGGCCTGAATAGAGACCACCGTCCTCTTCCTCTCCCCCCCACCTCGGATCCCCCCCAACTTCCACGCTTGAAGGGAGACAAGCCCCGCAGGGCCTCCCCCTGCCTCCCCCCAAGGCTGCTGGCTGGGGGGGGGGGATAAAGGCGCCTCCCAGCCCACCTCGCAGGGCTGTTGTGGCTGCTGTTGCTGTGGGGGGGGAAGGAGGGGGAGGGACGCCATCCCAAGGGATGAGAAATGCAGCCCGTTGAAAAGAGGCAGCCGGGGGGAGCCCCCCGCCCCCCATCACACGCCGGGCAACACTGTTGACAGGATCCACACGGCTCTGTTGGCAAAACACGGGAGCCGCCCAGGAGCCGCCGCGCCCTCCGGCAGCTGCCGAGGCGGTTTCACTTTGGGGGTGGAGGGAGGGCGAGGCGGCCTCGGGGTCTCCGGGGGAGCCGAGGAGGCGGAGGGTTTCCCGGAGGCTTCAGGCCGAGCCGCGCTTTTGTTGTCATGGCGACGGGACCTGCGCAGCGGCTCGGCTCGAGGCGGGCCGCGAGGCTAGTGCGCCTGCGCGGGGAGGAAGGCGGGCGGGAGGAAACGAGTCTAGCCCGCGGCGCGCCGTAGAAAGAGGGCACCCGCCGTTCTAGCGCCGCTTCCGCCCGGGCGCAAAATGGCGGCGCCCTTTGTCTGTTCCGTGTCACCATGATCGCCGCCGCCGTCGGGATGATGTGACGCTCGTGGGATGGCAGGTGCGGGGCCGAGAGGGAGGGGAGCGCCCCCGGGCTCCCTCCGCCCGCCCAGCGCCGGGGTCGGGGCCTGAGAGCGGGGCCGCCCGTCCGCCGCCCGTCCGCAGGCGGAGATCGGGCGAAGAAGCCGCGGCGCGGACAGCTCCTCGGGGTGCGGGAAGGGTTGGGGCGCGACCGCGGTCTCCTTTCCGACGATCGCCGGGAAGGCAGGCAGGCAGGCAGGCAGGCCGGGCGGCGGAAACCTCGCGCGGGGATGCGGGAGGGGATGCGATGCAAGCCTTTCGCGCGGGCCCTTCCTTCCCCGCGACAAAACAGCCTTCCGGGGTAGCCCAGGCTAAGAGGCCGGCCGAGGGGCTCCGGGCTTGGCCTGATCGCTCGGTGGGGATGCGGCGGCGGCGGAGCAGCATCGGCGAGCCTCGCCGGACGCCCCTGATGCCTCTCTCCGCAGCCATGGACTTCCCGCAGCACAGCCACCAAGTCCTGGAGCAGCTGAACCAGCAGCGGCAGCTGGGCCTGCTGTGCGACTGCACCTTCGTGGTGGATGGCATCGACTTCAAGGCCCATAAGGCGGTGCTGGCGGCCTGCAGCGAATATTTCAGGATGCTCTTCGTGGACCAGAAGGACGTGGTGCACCTGGACATCAGCAATGCGGCAGGTAGGAGCTCCCTAACCAGGGCAGTCAGACTGGAGGCTGGCAGCCTTGAAGCCTCCCTGCTTATATACCCCACCCCAGCACCTTTCAGTGGGTGCAAAAGTCCCCCAGATATGAGATTTGGGAGTGTCCTGGTGCTGGGAGGGGAGATCGGAGTGAGGGGCCAGCTGGAGGAGATGGCCTGGGTGAGGAGCAGGATGCCAGCCTTGAGTTCTCCCCGATCCCTTCTCCTCCAGGCTCGCATGCTTACAGCAGCCTTCCTTAGAAGTGGGCCTGTGCTTTGGGAGCATCCTGAGGCTGGCAGGGGGATGGGGGGCGGGGGGAAATGGGGCAGTATGCTGCCAGCGCTCACCTGGCTGTTGGATGTCCCATGCAGGTCTGGAGCAAGTGCTGGAATTCATGTACACGGCCAAGCTGACCCTCAGCCCGGAGAACGTGGAGGACGTCATGGCCGTGGGCAGCTTCCTTCAGATGCAGGAGGTCGTCCACGCCTGCAGCACGCTGAGGGCCCTCTCGCCCCCAGTTGGCCTGGAGATCCCCACAGTGGCTGGTAGGGCGCTTTCCTGTCCTTGGGTTCGGTTCCCTTTCTTGCCCCCAGGACCACCCCAACCCCTGGGCCTGTCGGAGAGGAAGCCCGACCGTCTCCAGTCAGGCCCAGGAAACCTCTGCAGCGGAGCTGCTCTTTAGCAGGGGTTGAAGAGCTAACTTTTCTGGGGTGTTTGTGTGGAGGCTGTCCTACAAAGGGGACATTACTGATGCCAAACTGCCTGTCATAGCGGAAAGCTGATGGAAATGCTGGTGCTTCCCCGCATCATTTACTAACGTGCAGCCCCAACCAATGGTGAATTAAGGCTCAGTGGTGCCCTAAGCACTGACAAATCTTGGTGCCCCCTTCCTTTGTACATACTGCACAGACGGAGCCATATTCTCAACTTTGTGGTGCCTTCTTTGAGCCTGGTGCTCTAAGCGCATGCTTAGTCTGCTTAACGGTTAATACACCACTGCCTCCAATTTCCTAGCTTGAGGCTGGGTCTTTTTTTGGGGGCGGGGGGGGGAGTAGGATTGATTTCACTCTCCTGGTCTCAAAGCACCATTGTGTTGGTTCTGTTGGAAGCGTGGCGGGGATGCAATGCGCCCAAGACTGTTCTGACCACTCTGGTTTTCTTAAAATGTACTGGAAATTGGGGGCCAATTATTAAGACGAGCAGCTACGTTGAGCCAGAAACGTTAGCTTTTATGATGAACGGGTAGGGCCATCCTAGACTGACCATCTGCTGATACCCACTTTCTGTAGGTGTAGCCGAAATGGGAAGGTTGGGCTCTTGCTGATCTTGAGTGGGGGAAAAATAATGGTCAGCTGGACCAGATCTTTGGACTGGTCTCCAACCTAGGGAGGTTGCCACCGGTTGTCGGGCTTTGCTGGGTTTCTGGCTGGAGAGGCCTCAATGGTCAGTCGCCTTCGCTTCCTCTCTCTCTCTCTCTCTCCCCCACCCCCCCAATCCCAGGGCAGGAGAAAACAACCAACAGCAGGCACAAAATGGAGTTGGAAGCCCCCAGGGAGCAGGAGGAGCAAACCTCCTCTGGCAGCCTCCAGCCAGCGGAAGTGGCCCATCCTGCAGAGGACCTGAAAGATGAGGCGACAGTGGCGGAAGGGAGCGAGGCTGGTCCAAGGCCAGGTAGAAGCACAGGGTCGCAGGGTTAATGGGGGAAAAGCGCTGGAGAAACGCAACCTTTTCTTCTTTATCTTCTTCCTGGTTTCTCCCAAATCTCAAGAGAACTTGAAAGTCTCAAATGATGTCTTGCTTCTTCTTTACCCGTGGCAAGTGGAAAATTATATCAGAGACAGTTCCACAGTAGTAACTCTGCCCCGACCGAGTTCCCCATCGCCCAGCTTGAGTGGGCAGTTCTGTTGCCATAAGGGGAAGCCCCTCTCCTTTGGCCATAACTTTTAAACACCTTTATTTCCCGTTTCCCTGCGAGCTAAACCTCTCCAACGCTTGGGTTTCCCTCTCTGCCCCTGAGAGCAACCTCCTCTTCTGGCCCCCTTCCTTCTCCCTGACTCCTCTGGCCTGCTGGCGCCTCCTAAAATGTTGCCAACTTGGTCCTTCTTTCCAGATGCAGGCACAGCGTTCCCCGCTGGGACCGAAGGACCGCCGGAGGAGCTGCAGTTCGGCCTCTCCCCGCACGAAGAGAGCAGACCTATCCCCACTTTCCCCTCTCAGGCCAGGGAGGCTGGTGAGCACCAAGGCAGGGATGGAAGGTTACTGAGAGAGAGAGAGAGAGAAATCCATCACGCTTAAGGTGCCCAAGGGAGGTGTGCAAAACGCAAATCTTGTGCCAAGCATCCGAAAGCACAGCTGCTGACAACCTTGGCAGGCAGCCCCTTGGTTGACTTACGTTCTGAGGGAGTTGTGGCGAACCCATCACATTCTGGCTGCTGCTTTTTCCTTTCTGGGGCTGGTCTTGGAGACCTTCTTAGCAGAGTAGAGGCTGTTAGTTCCCAAGTGGCCCTTAGGGCAGCAGGTTTTTACCTGCTGCCAGTTTTTCTCGTCTCCTTGCTCCTGCAGACCTTCCAATGCTGAAAGTCCCCGTGGAGATGGAGGTGGAGCTGGAAGGACGCGAAGAGGAGGAAGACCCGCCTTCTGAGGCGGAGGGCAACGGCAAGACGGCCGAGGAGCCCGAACCGACCCTGCTGACCAACGGCAGCGTCCCCGAGGACTTTGAGTCTGGAGGCACCGACTCTGGGCAGGAGAACGCGGGAGAGGCCAGGCTGCTGCGCTCGGGGACATACAGCGACAGGACAGAATCCAAAACGTACGGCTCCGTGACCCACAAGTGTGAGGTGAGCTTCAGGCCTGTGAACTGCCCCAGGAGGGCCGTTCCCAAAGCATCAGGCATCTGCGATCCTTGCTGTGGTGGGTGGGGAGCAAAGCCCCTCGGGTGGGAGCTGCGGGGCGAAAGTCGGTGAGAGCAGACGGCAGCGGCACCCTTGCCGCCAACAGCCGCCGGCCCAGCAAGAAAGGAGTGAGCCCAGCAGGTTGGAGGCCCTTTGCCTCCAAATGCAAGTGGAGGCACCTGGCCAGGTCTTCGCCTCTGCTGCCTGCTTTCCTTTCCAGACCAAACTCCCATTCTCCCTGGCCCCAAGTTAGGGTGGGCTGGGCAGCAGCGTGCTGGAGGCGAGGGTGGCCAAAGGTGTCTTCGCTTCCTCCAAAGGACTGTGGAAAGGCGTTCACCCACACGGGCAACTTCAAGCGCCACATCCGCATCCACACGGGAGAGAAGCCCTTTTCC